AAAGATCCAAACTGTCCATTATAAACATCCATCGCAGTTTACAGACTGACCTTGGGGTTTAACTTTGATCTAAAATACTTATGTTTAAAACAAACAAACAAAAAAATAATAATAATAATATAAAAATAATATAGTTATTTTAGTAATTTTGTGTGTTCAGTTTTGTTTCCAAATTGTGATAATTAGATAATCTGGCTAAACTGTTAGCTTGAATATCTGTCTGACTGCCTAAGCACTTAGTGTTGGTATGTTTTCAGATCTCTGCATTTGTCAAAACTAGCATAACTGTGCTGACTAAATTGTTTAGAAAACAGTTTGCTATTTACAATAACATTCATTTGGCGTCATGTTCCTGGCCACATGATGAATTTAAGACTGATACCCGCTCTCCTTTTATGTGTGGTTGGTCTCCACTAGCTCTCGAGGGAAATACCAGACTCTTAGGATGCTAAATGCTCCACCATGTTCCCCAGCTAGTCGCTAACTTTGTATATGTGGCGTTTGGAGCTGCTGCTGTTGCTGAGTACCAGACTGATGACAACAGTGACAGGAAACCAAAAGTTGAGGGTCAGAAATCCAAAACAATGAGCTTAAAGGTGCTCGAAAGCTTTGGTAACAACGTGGCTTCATCACACCTCTCATATTACACATGGTCTTTTGAACGATTGTAAATGCAAGCATTTTGATGAGAGCAGCATTAACGCAGTATATCCTTTAAACCCTAAAAAATCAGGTCAGCAGTTTACATCAGTATGCTAAATTAAAAACAGTATGGGATGGCAGCATGCATTTTAAGCCTTCAGCTCACAGCAGTTACAGAAACCATCAACATTAGACGGCAAAACCACTGCTGTTGTTATGAGCATATGGTAAGCAGTAGTCTGTTTGGGAACTGAAGCTTTAAGTTCTGTAGATTAGATTTGTAGACAAGATGTGTTGAGGCATTGATAGAAACATTCAGAGCAGCAGATTCCGTCTGGGCCGAGTCATGAGCAGCTTGTGCAGACAAGTCCTGTGCGTGGAGAGGACGACATAACACAGGGCCTGATCCCAATCACACACACTGACAACAAGCCCCTTTTTTCTACATGCTTTCCGTCTTCATTATTCATCCTCTCCCTGTTTCACTCCCAACATCATTCATTCACTTCTGCAGCCCCTACATTTATGTTAAAATGTTATGTTTTCTTGTCTTATCTTTTTTTGCCTGTGATTTATCATTTAAAGATGATGGTGCAGTATTACGTAGGATCTCATGCAGAAGACCGCAGCTGATGATCAGCGAGAGCAGGTTGATTCCTATCACTGCAGGTCAGCCAGTGGCTGGGCTCTGGGGCTCAGTTGCAGCTGTCGTGTCGAATAGTGACCCTGTGTGGAGTTCATGTCATGTGTGGGAGGCAGTGACAGACTTGCGGTTTCTGTGTCTCTGTCTGGGCTGGCCTGCACTGAGCAATCTGCCACATGTTTGGGCTTTGTGTGCAGCCTTTGAGCCCGCGTTTCCTTGGTGTGACTTGTGCTTTTGTGTTAAGGGGAGGTGAACCCTGTGGCCTGCGGGATGCCTGTAGCTGCGCTGATTACATGTTCTGTGTGTCCAGCTGTCTGTCCAAGCCAGCTCCCGATGCAACACTCAGAACACATGAGAGAGAAGGGGAGAGTGAGAGCGCCAGATTTCTTGTCTTAATGGAAAACATACTGAGCATTTTCTCTGAAAAAAATGTCTCTTTTATTTGCTTCCTCCCTGCTTCCTTTTGCTTTGGGTTTTTTTTTTAATTGGAGAAGATTCCAGCCTAGAGCGACTTGAGGTTTCTCCCTCTTGTGGTAAATCTGGAGGCTCTTGCCGGATCATGCTGTGGCTCAGCCATGCCAAAAGCGCAGCGTCACTTTCGACACAAACATACATCCCACCCCTCCCCGCCACCGCAGCTGTGGCAGAGGCAGCCAGCCAGCGGGCAGAAGCCGCAGCACCCTGCCACAGAGGCTCAGGGAGAGGAACTGCCCTGCCACCCCCCTATGGAGAAGGGCACGGCTCACTGCTACGGCTCATTTAGGCCACTGCTATGATACTGTAGTCAGTTTCTTTTTTTTTAATTCCAAAAAACACATTTGTTTTATTTTTTTTCATCTGCTGTTCATCTGATGCTATTTATAACTGGTATGTTCTTGATCCTACTCCCATCACATGTGTTTCTGAAACTGGATTTGAACTCCAAAATGTAAAACTTTTTTTAGCTCTTTTTTTTTGCCGTGCTAGCTGATGAAAATGTTGGTTTGTTGGTCAGTCCGCTACTTTGGCTCTGAGTGAAATATCTCAATAACTATCACCTAGATTGCCAAGAAATTTTGTACAGTCATTCATGGTCCCCAGAGGGTAAATCCTGCTGACTTCAAGCATCGCCACGAGTTTGATATTTCCTTCTTTTACTGAAATGTCTTGTCATTAGATGAAATCTGATACAAGATTCATGGTCCCAAGAGGATTAATCCAAATGACACTGGTGATCCTCTGATGTTTCCTCTAGAACCATCATCAGGTCAAGAGTTTTCCTGTGAAATATCTCAACAATCTGGCACTAAATTTTGTACACACATTCATGACCCCCAGACGATGACGATTAGCTCAATGCAATGCCGTGCCTAAGTACAGTAAGTACGGCCTGCTTGCGTGACTGTAGACTCTTAGTCTTGTTTCTTCTAGCATCAATACACAGTGAATCAGAGGACAGTCTGTGTGTTTATGTGTTGAGGAGAACTGGAGTGTATGCTAGCAGGTGGTGAGTTACACATGGCAGCGTTCACACAGACTGAGCTCTAAACAGGGGCATGACAGTCAATGTTTTTCCCCTCGCTCCTCATACCTTTTTTTAGGTTTTGTTCTAAAATACTCTGAACCACATCTTCCTCTCTCTGCTTTACAAGTGTTTGTTTGCCTTTTAATTGCTCGGCGAGGGGCCCCTCCCCTCACAAAGTCCGACTGAGTTGCCAGGATACAGACCATGAGAAAGAATTTCAGCACCTCAGTAAATCTATGGAGGACTCCGGCAAACTTAGGCAAACACGTCCCGTCTTTCACAAAATGGTTCAGTACATTAAAGTCCCATTCATCACGGGGAGAGTTTGTTTCTGGGAGATAACAGGGTGTTTTAATGTGACACCTGAGGGCTCTGCTCGGTCAACAGGTGGCGCTTTGCTAGACAGCCTCAAACAGAGGGGAAATGTTCCTAGGGCTCAGTCGTCCTGTCTGCGAGTTACTGATTGTCCATCCCTCAGTCTGAGTGACCAAGGTTTTCGAAATGTTGTGGTCATCGTCCGTGTATGGTCTCAATGTTGAGAAATGAATGAAGGTTTGTTAGGCAGCCATGCTGGAAACAAGGTTATGTGTGTTCCCTCTCTAAACTTTAGAGTTTATGTCACTTGTAAAACCCAGATTGACTGGTTTGTATATGCAGGCGGAGGGAACAGGGTTGTTTATCCTCTGACTGACGTAATTCTGTGATTAGCTCTGGGTTTTTATACCTCCGCTTTCTGTCTCACACAAACACACACTCAGACGTCGCAGCTGACCTGAGACAAGGCCCATATGAACTCAATTTTCTCCCGCAGACAAAAACAACCAAAAACAACAACAAAAAAATGCATGCTGACGTATGCAGATAGGAAGGAAATCAATAAAAAACAAACAAGGAGGAGGCACAGCGGCCAGATGAAAGGAGGCTCGGAGGGCAGGCGGCTGGAATTTAGCACATCTGTTACCTTGGCAGGGCTCTCAATCATGTGTGATGCTGTAGAGGCTGAAAGACGGTCAGAGAGCAGCGGTGTAGTTTGTCTCCAAGCAAGCTCGCATGTTTTTCACCCATGGATACAAGACAGCATAGGCCCTTTTTTTCAATCTATGTGTTGTCGTAAAACTACACAGCAAAAGAAGTTATTGTGAACAAGGTTTTCTTGCTTTGAAGTTGTCATGTTTCACTCAATTTTAGTAATTGAATGTATAAAGTTTGCTATTTCCGTTCCTTTTATTTTTGGTCTTGAGGAATTCAAAGATATTTTAATGAAATTAAGTTTAACAGCTCTTTGACATTTTTTTTATTATTTATGCGTTGATTAGTTTGCCACAGTTGTCAATAAACACATGTGGTATGTGTTGCACAACCCATTATGAGCTTCTGTAAATCACTTGGTAAAATATCGGAGTCAAACAACAACTGCTTTTACAGCCCAGAGGTCAAACTGCATTAAGATTCTGTTACACATGATATTATAATCTGTTAAAACTCTTCTGCTTGTTTTTCAGCTTGTGTTGCATGGTTAAACTTTCTTTGTGTTGTTATCTGTTTTTTTTTTTAGAAATGCTCAAGCTGTGTGTTTTGATTTGTTTCATCTGTAACATTTGATGCTGCCATCTTGACCCGATCTCTCTCACAAAACAGGTTTCCCATCTTTATTTAAATGGTTAAATAAGACTTTAAAAAAATAGAAAAAGTCAGAATATTACATTAACATCAAGTTTTCTTTCATCCAGCTTTCCAATTTTAGATCTTGAGGCCTTGATGTCCACCGGGGCCGAGTGTGTTGTATGGTATTATTGTATCCCTGTTGCCCTGAGACAACCACTCAAGACAATGTTGTTTGCCAGTAACAACACAATCAGACCGGTCTGCTTACCCCACTGTTTCTTTTTCTACCAGTAAATTACATGGAGCCACCTCCAGCCACATCCCTTTGGATGAATCACGTTTGGACAAAAATAACAAAACTGGCACTGATAACAAAACTGTTCCTGCCTGGTGATTATAATTAGAGTTGGGTAAATACCAGCACTTTTAGACCTCACTGAGTTTTTGTCTGGAATTCCCCTCATGCTGTTATAATCATATACTACACACGCAGATCAAGAGACAGCCCTCATTTAGCTTCACAGCTTTGTTAAACCATTAATGCACAAAGGCACATTTTTGCATTTTAATGTCATTACCTTTAACCACTTCCCGTTTGTCCCACAGTTACTACGTCTTGTGGTATCTGAGAAGCGCTGGAAAGCCCGGTCGCGTGGCGGCGGTGGAGTGGATGGGTGGAGCGATGAAGGAGAAGAGGGATTCGAGAGCGGCGACTGCGACGATGAAGACGAGTGCACCGGGGTGTCAGGGCTGGGGCCGCCACTGAGACGCAAGCGGTTGCGCATCTTTGCAGGTTAGACACACACATTCGAACTGGATCTGAAGATCAACTTTAACTGCAACGTGTGTTGTTTCAAATAAAGGGCTGCATCCACATTGATAACTTCAAGTTACCTTAAATTGCATTTATGAGGTGGGCTGTGAAAAAATGTTGACATTTAGGCCTACTAACCAAATTGGAGCTATTTACTTTAAAACTGTTGTGTGTATGAATAGATCTGGCTTCTTCTGCAGTGAGTCAGAGCGATCACAGTCCAAACACAGGCAGTGGGCGCTGCAGAGAGGTGTTTACATGACTACTGTACATGCTGACACCACCGTGACACTATGCTGCAGGAGATGTGAGACTTCCTCAGGTAGCCGCCTCACCTCAACCTCTTGACCTCTCCGCCGTCAATCCCGTGAAATATGTCAGACGTGCGCTCTGAAAGCCAAACAAAGAACAAATGAAGCTACAAACTGTTGGAAGAAAAGAAACCAAACAGAAAAAAAATGGAGAAAACAGACAGGGAGCAGGAACAAGGGGGTTCGATACGCAGACACAAAGCCAGCGCAGCTGAGCAAACACGGCAGTGGGAGTAGTCCTCCTGTCGGGGGTGTTGTGGCAGAGAGTTGGGTTCGTCGGGCAGGGAGCTGGAGCAGGGACCTGGGGTTAGAACAGGAATCCTGCAGGGCCATCACTTCCAGCAGGCTGGGCCGTGAGAGTCTGATGCCCTCTCTTACTCGCGCCTGTTAGCCTGACTGTACGGCTCTTGTCTGGTTTACAAGCTGCAGAGGGACGACACTGCGGGAAAGCAAAGCTCTCTTTACGGTCTGACTTCAACCTCAATCTAAGTCCCCTTCAATTTTCTCTTATCTCGTCTGTGAATTAGCAGATTAGATGTTTGTGTTGTAAGTGTGTGTGTGCTCCTAACATGAGTGTGTGAGTGCATCTGCAGGCACATATACGTCTGTTTGTGCCTGTTTGTACATGAGCCAGTAATGTTTGCAGACCTCGGAGACTCGCTGCTCATTGGCAGATACACAGATAGCTGCTGATAGCCTGTGATGACCCAGCAAAATGCTGACCTAAGCACGGCCGCTCAGCCCATTTTGGTCAAACAGGGGACTGGAGTTCAAAGGTCAACCTGCAGAGTATGAGGCCTAATGGGCTGACTGTCTGTGCTCTGCTGCTCCGAGATGGACGAGGCGGATCTGCTTTCACAAAGCCTGCAGCGGGGCAATAGTGTAGCGCGCATGCACACACACACATACACACATGTACACATGTACACACACACATACACACACAGAAGAGTTGGGGAAAGGTGACAGAAGCCACAACAACAAAGTGCAGACAGGACAGAGGCAGGGCCGAGACCCCCACACAGCCCGGCTGTCAACCGGCTGACCACACAGAGGATGTTCCCAAACGTGCGTAATGATTGATCTGTCGTCGCTCATTCTCCACATGGATTCCATAACCTTCTGATCACTAATGCTACTCACCCTCAACACACACACACACAGACACACACACACACTTCCCCTCCTGACCAATCAAACCTCCCGCCGCACATTCCCCAGAGCATTCCAGGCCAGGAGAGCTATTCCAGGACAGCCCCCCCACCCCAGCCCCCACCCCCCTCTCCAAAGCCAGACTAACAGCCATGCACTGGACTGGTTACAGCTTACACACAGACACAATCTTTCCTGTGACCTCTCTGGTGATCATATATCACCAGCTTTAATTGCTAAATTATTTAAGGCTTGTTTGATTTGAGTGGTGGGAGATCTGTGGCATTCTAGTGTTTGGCTAACAACTTATCCCGTCGACCACCATCCTACCAGCTATAATCAATTACATCTTCACACGTGATGGATAAAAAACACATGATAAGATACTAGTGATGGTCAGATGATCAAATATTTGTCTTAAGTCATTTGCTGCACATTGTCTGAAGCAAGCCAGTGTGAGTGGATTATTATGGCATAATGTTGGATGGTAAACTGTAGAGTGAGAGTAGCCAGTTTTGCATGGCAGTTTTGTGCAAAAAAGGAGCGATTTTTAAAAAAAATTTTATTAGAAAAGGCGGCGAAACACAAGTGCGAATAAGTGCAAATAAAGCTTTCTCTGTTTTCTCCTGTCATTCCAAGTAAATTTGATGATGGAAAAGGGTGTTTCCGTTACAATTGTGCGAAAACATTGCTTTGTTGAATGACCACCATATGTGAGTGTACACACGTGTTACTATTACTCGCTTTTAAGTTTGCTATTTCAAACTGTGCATTAAGCAGGTCAATGGAAACACACCTATGACACAAGTGGAGAAAAGTCATAAAGTGGGTTTGTCTGTCTGTGTAGTTTTTTCTTTTTAATGCTGTATTCTGTGATGCCACATGACTGTCTGTTGCCCATGATGAGGGCTCACCTGCGTTTCTGTGCTTTCATGCACACCTGGCCTCAGACTGTACGGCCTCTGTGAGAAACTAAGAACCTGCCACCATCTCCTCACAGACCTGCTCACAGATTTCTCTCAAAGCCTCTCTTCATTCACTTGTCCTCACTTCATTTTTCTTCGCCCTGCTGTCACTTCAAATTTGTACTGCAGTGTTTTCAGACTACAGCCGCACAAGAGCACCGACAAATACTGAGTAATTTACTGTATGAAGTCTTCCCTTGTGAAACTGAACACCTGCCAGTGAGGTGAATCATTTGTTTCCAGCTGTGTTTCAACTCTTGTAGTTTTGGGAAAATAAATGGCAACACGGTGGAACAGTCAATCACTGCGCTGGTTTCAAGGTAATGTCCAAGTTCTTGAAACAAAATGATTCACATTGAGAAAAGGTGGAATTAATCCACAGAAATGTCTCTTTCTATAACAGGAGTTCACCACTCAATTTTAAAACCACTTATAAAGATGGCTATTTAACAGCTAACTGCTAGACCAAATAATGTGTTAAAATGGCTTTTTGATGCCGTTTGGAAACATTCAGCAGTCTGAAAGCCAACAGACGGTGGGCTCTGTCACAGCAGAGCGGCCCACAGCAGAAGAGCCTCGTGTGTTTTCTCGCTGAGCTGGATGGGCCTTTGCTGTGCGCCGTACCTCACCATGCTCAGCAGGAGCCGTGTGAATGGACCTGTTGTTATGCTCCTGCGCTCAGACGTTTAGTCACTGTAAGCACTCTGGAGGAAAGCTGTTTCTTTTTTCTTTCTAAGCTCATGAGCGTTTTATCATCACCAGGGGTTAGCAAAAATACAAAGTAGAAATATTCCTGTAATGTGAAACATGCAGCTTACGATGAGAGGCTGGGCTGGGCTCACCTTTCAGGTCTGCTACAAATTTTGTGGCTGGAACAAAGGAGCGAGTACAAGAAAGAAGGAGGTGATGAAAGAATGCAGGGAAAGAACAGAAAGAGACAAAAACACCTTTGATAACTCTAAAGGTTGATACAGTGGGAAACCTAAACATTCTTTACTCTTTATGTGGGTCGAATTAACAGCCGTACGTGCTGCCAATACGAGAGCCTGGTATGTTAATTAACTGCAGCTGTGACCCCTGACCCTCGGCACCTGATAGGTGAGTCACACGGCGCCGGTCCTCCGCAGTAGTGTTTGCCACATGTCTTCATCAAAGTAGCCATAATCCAGACACTGTTGACATTAGCTCTGGCAGCTCTGGATACGTCCGCCATGTATGCCGTTTCCTCCTTGTTTAAGCTCCATATAGTTTCATAGAGCTGATTATCTGAGCTACTGCGCTCATGAATGTGCACCCGGTTAGAGAGTCGTCCACATGTGGTTGCCAGTTAGAGGGCCTGCGTGCCACAGTGTGTTAGCGTGAGACAGACGGAGACGGGCTCAGACGTTGCAGATGTGCGAGGATGAGTGCAGGTGTTGGAATGAAGGAGGAATCTGGGTGCCCACCTGGCCTGAGTCTTCTATGGTTTTCAACAGCAGAAAGAGCCGGATGATACCGAGGCACAAGAACACGCAGACTTCACCAGAGTATCACTGTTTGAGGCCTACCGCCATCAGGACATCATCTATCAAAACGTATCTCTCTATCATCAGAATTACTTACGGATCAGCTATGTTGCTATCAAAGGTCCAGAGCTGAGTCACGTGATCTGGACTCCAGTCTAACGACAGTCATAGTTGTGTTAACTTGGGGCTTGACTTGAATGACATTTTATTTTTGGCTAGGCGAGCAGCAAGTCTCTGTGGATGGCAATGTCTTAGGACAGTTTATCATGACATAATGAATTGGGCTAATATCTGCTGACCCGCTGCTTTGGACAAAAGCATCTCAACAAATATCGATAATCATGATGACTTTGGTGGTCCCTCAGCCTTTAGTGCTAATTAAGGTAAAATAAGATAATCCTTTATTAGTCCCGCAGTGGGAAAATTTGCAGTGTTACAGCAGCAAAGTGGACAGTACAAAACAAATGCAAAATGAAAATATTTTGCTGCTAATAATACAAAAAAAATTACAAAAGATAAACAATAGATAAATAATAAAGTATAGCAATGTTGTATGTACAGATAGATATTATTTATATGTTACAATGTGTCAGAAATAGCTGCATATAAGGAATGTTGCACAGTTGGTGTGTGTTAATTATTGCTCATGGCGAATTTGTCAGCCTTTAGTGTGTCTAATTAGCAAATGTTAGCATGCTAAGACGCTAAAGTAAGATGGTGAACATAGTAGTGCTCAACATCAGCATATTAGCATTGTCGCTGTGAGCATGTTAGCATGCTGATGTTATTATTTAGCTTAAAGCAGCGCGGGGCCTTTTATTTTACGCCAACTGAAATCACAAACATTACAATCAAAACTCTTTTAAATATCTTCAACACTGAAAAGCTTTGGTTGTGATAACATATATTGATTTCTGCAATCAGTCTGTTTTGCTATGAAACAGCGTAATTATGATGTATTTTTTTTCCAGAGAAACAAAAGAGATGCAGATAAAAGAACAGATGTTGTTGCTCAGTCTGCAGACACACTGAAAATCAAAATCCTC